CCCTAGTGACATCGTGCAGAGACCAGAAGTCTGTCTAGCCATAGTACCTAGTGACATCGTACAGCGACCAGGAGTCTGTCTAGCCATGGTCCCTAGTGACATCGTGCAGAGACCAGGAGTCTGTCTAGCCATAGTACCTAGTGACATCGTACAGCGACCAGGAGTCTGTCTAGCCATGGTCCCTAGTGACATCGTGCAGAGACCAGGAGTCTGTCTAGCCATAGTACCTAGTGACATCGTACAGCGACCAGGAGTCTGTCTAGCCATGGTACCTAGTGACATCGTGCAGAGACCAGGAGTCTGTCTAGTTATGGTCCCTAGTGACATCGTGCAGCGACCAGGAGTCTGTCTAGCCATGGTCCTTAGTGACATCGTACAGCGACCAGGAGTCTGTCTAGCCATGGTACCTAGTGACATCGTGCAGCGACCAGGAGTCTGTCTAGCCATGGTCCTTAATGACATCATGCAGCACTGGCACATTTGAATAGTTCATCGTGGAGTCAGGAAGGATCCCAGTAGATGTGATTATAGGTATACACCAAAGAGAAAGAAGTAGCTAGAATAGTGTCAAATTAGAACATGTTCCACAGGGAATAAAACAAGTATGAATATTTGGATTGAGGTTTGAGGTTGCTTAAAATTCGCCACATGATGTTTCAAGTCTGCATTCCACGTGGGATAAACCCAATCAACCTAAGGGTGTTGTTTTTGTTTTGAACAGGAATCTCACCCTTGGCAGGTCTGGAAATGTTGAACAGCCCTGCCTCTGCTCATTGGTGAGGGTCCTGACATAAACAGTGGTATTAAATCCTGCTTGTGCTGCATATATATTTTACTTTTCAGTACTTGAAGTCAGATCTTTCCATGATGGGCCCCTTTGTTCTTGACGTAGGATAACTGAACTGACAATTTTAGGAAAGGAAAATCTGTCATAAATAACATAAGCCTTTAATCCCAGCACCCAGGATGCAGAAGCAGGCCGTGGATCTCTGAGTTTGAGGCCAGCCTGGTTACACAGAGAAACCCTATCTTGAAAAAAACCAAAAACACACATAAGAATTCATATCTTGCAGCCAGAGAGATGGCTCAGTGGGTGAGGGCCTGTATTGCTTTTGCAGAGTACCTGAGTTTGAGTCACAACATCTCTATCAAGTACCTAATGGCTGTAACTACAGCTCTCAATAGATCTGACATGCTGCTGTTGCATGGGTGCTCAGATGTTGTAACAGTGATCTGAGAAAGGGATTGTGTCTGCAGGAAGTAGGTACCATGAGTATCACTGGGAATTGCTTTTTCCTCTTTGACCTTGATACTAGAATATGAGTCATTTTGATAAGTGGGAAATTAGATCAACTGAGAATGTAAATGTCACTGAAAGTGGGTAGGGTCTCCTGACAGACAAGGCATGAAAACCAAATCACCAGCAGGGTGCTAACTAGCATCTTCTCAGGGCTCTGTACTGAGAAGATGACACAAAGGAACGTCTGCCTGGATCGTCCATTCTGCATTTGTCTTACAAGACTGGTGGTGATGGCTGTCTGTCTGGTTCTTAATTTAGCCTCCAGTAATTTAGACTTCAACTATTTAAAATTTGTATTTATTTTTGAGACAAGGTCTCACTATGCAGGAACACTGGCCTGGCACTTGCTCTGTAGATGAGGCTGGCTTTGAACTCAGAGATCCTCCTGCCTCTGCCTCTGCCTCCAGAGTGCTGAGATAAAAGGCGTGTACCGCACTGACCTCAGAGTTTTAACTAGTGTATGATAATTGGATTATACAGAAAAGAAAGATCTGAAGTGCATGTTTGATTCCAGTAAAACTACCATTCCTGCAGGCTGAAAAGTGGTTGCTTAGTAATTCCCTCTGTTTAGGATTTGATTTCTTTGACTGCATCAGATTCTAACCCAGCCCACCCTTTCATATTTCCTGTTTTTTTTTTAATTTAACAACACAGAACTTTGGTTTTATGACAGCTCAGCTTGGTTTAGTTTCTTACATCCCTAAATACAGTATTCCCTGGCTCAAAGACATCATCAGCATTAACAACACAGGTATCAGGTTAGACTGCTTTCATAAGCTAAGCTTTGCAGGGTAACTCAAACCTTTCACAACTCAGGTCTGCCTGCCTGGTCCTTCACCCAGAGCTGCAGCATTCTTAATATAGTACTGTTTGGAAAGAAAACCCTCAGCAGAGAACTATCCCAAGGTAAAGTGCTAGTTTCTACGCAAACTGCCCAGTATGGGCCAACAAGTCCAGCATAAGATTACCTCAGCCTGCCAGCCACGTAACCTGTCTGGTGGCCTGACACTGTGCCAGCAAATGCCAGGAAGGATAGGATAGGGCAGTTTTCCCTCGCACTTGAGAGCAACCTTGGTTTCTTGGGCTCTTTTCACTCAGCCGTTTGAAGTGGGTCTTCCAGAAAGAGAACATCACTTGCTGTGAGATAAATGTTAGCAATCCCACCTTGTGCTTTGAGCTCTTCGGGGTGCAGGAAGGGATGTGTACAGATGAGGGATCCTGACTCCAGTGGAAAGTTAACATTCTTTTAAATGGAAAAAGTTTGGAAAGTCTTTAATAAAATATTTTTAAAACACCTAGCCTTACAACTGCTTTAAAAAGTGCAGTTTCAGTGTGACCAAGGAAATTCATTTGTATTCCCAGAACTTAAGAGCCTCAGCAAGATACCAAATAATGTATTTCTGAGGCCCTCAAAGGATACCCAGATAAACATGCCTTAAAAAACCCTGCTGCTCCCTTTCCTTACCCTTCAAGTCTATAGAGCACCTGAAGTTCAAATGGTTATTCTCTAGTAGAACTAATCCCTCCACGGACTGAGCTTCTTTATGCCCCCCCTCCCCCCCCCCTCTTACCTGGCTCAAGCCCCTGAGGGCCTGCTGCAGTAGACACCACAGCTTTGTCACCTGCAACCTTTCTGGCCAATGTCCAATATGGCACGCCTCACGCTGGCTACCATAAAAGCCCTCCATTGGCGCCAGGTTCAAGGAAATGCAGACTTTCTGTGGCTTACAGGATAACCGGCTACTTAGCTCACCTGTGCCAGCCCACCAACACTCCCAGAGCGGTCACTTCCAACTCAACACTGCTTGGCAGTTCCATGACTTAATTTAGTGCATTTAAATATCCCACTGTTTCTCCGTCGCGTCAGCACACCAGCTCTCATCAGATGAAAGCCCACGAACTGTGAGCCTTCTCTAAATGTAATACTACGGTATCTTGGGGCTGGAGAGATGGCTCAGTGGTTAAGAGCATTGCCTGCTCTTCCAAAGGTTCTGAGTTCAATTCCCAGCAACCACATGGTGGCTCACAACCATCTGTAATTAGGTCTGGTGCCCTCTTGTGGCCTTCAGGCATACACACAGACAGAATATTGTATACATAATAAATAAATAAATAAATGTTTAAAAAAAAATACTACGGTATCTTGAACTCTGGGTCCCAGGACATTAGTATGAAATCTGATGGAGTAAGACTTTCTAATTGTAACACGTACCATGGTTGAGACATTAACACATGCTTGATCCCAGCAATCCCAGAGGCAGGTGGATCTCTGAGTTTAGGCCAGCCTATGGTCTAAATGGTTTCAGGATAGCTATCACTACATAGAGATACTCTGTCTCAAAACAAACAAAAAAATAACAGAGGATTAGCATTAGAAGTGAGGGTAAGGAACAAACAAGGACTCCTAATTAATTATACATGCAATTTTTTAAATGAGTAATCTTAGATTTACATAAAACTACTCCCAAATTTAAATATCTTTTTAAAAAACAAAACCCAGCAAAGGTCCCAGGGCTAACTAAATCTCCAGTCCTGGGGCCGAGACTGGGATGCATTTCCCAGGAAGAGCCCCCCCATTGATTATGATGCAGACCCCGAGAAAGCTGGCCTCTCTTCCCAGGAAGAGCTGCAGACTCCTAGCTTGACCTGATTTAACCTTTTAAATCTGAACCCCCAAATGTAACTATTCTTCTCTCTTCAGAAATGAGAAATCTGAAATACAGGGACTATAAGAAGTGGAGCTGGGATCCGAACCAACGGTCAGCCTCAGTACATACACACAACCAGTCCCCCTCTAAGCATGGCGTCCATCTTGACAAACTCTTCAGAACTCTGTAAATTGAGTCATTAAAAAAAAAAAAGAAAGAAATGGTGTTATTGCCAACGATTTTGGAGGCCCACATTTTCTCCAGCCATATAAGGACCCTCTGCTCCAGTTTCTGACTCTTCTTTTCCCCTGTTCTCCACTGGGTGAAACTGAGCCAAGAGAGAACAAGGTAGAGACATGGAGTCCTGTAGTGGGAACTGCAGCTCTTCGGCAGGACGCTGTTGTTCTCAGACTGCCTCTCCCTCCCTGACATATACTGAAGTCCACTGCAATCATATTGACTTTGGATTAAACAGCCATTATTATGTTTCTGCCCCTTACATTTAAAGCCTTAAGTACCCATCTTTCCCTCACATTTTCCCACAATGCCTGAGAACACCATGAGGTAGTGTTACCTTAGGGACTTAGTTGAATTTCCCAAGGCAGGAACCCACATGCAGAAGCTAGTCCAGTAATAAGCATTCTGATGCCCAGTCACATTATCTGGGGACATGGAAGAGAACTGGGTATTATTCTCAATAAATTTTGGTCCCCTCAGCTCCTGATTTGATTTCGACACCTGCCCCTCAACCAGACACACAAATAGGACAATGAACACACGTCTATAAAACAGAACACAGTCAAATGACGTCTCTGCTCTCCCACGGAGCTCCCTTCATCAAATGGATAATGAAGCAAACCACAGTACAGGCGGGAAAAATCCAGGAAGCACAAGTCAGGAAAATGTGTTCCTCTTGTGATTGGAATACAATGAAAATTCAGTTGCTTATACTCTAAAGAAATCTGAGACATCTGGTGATCAGGTTAGAATCTGCATCTCAGATCCTATGCATTTCTTGATAAATAGGAGAAAAAGACGCGACAGCATTATTACATTTTCTTCACCATTGCTTTAATGCATTTTAAAAAGTTATCTACACGAATTGGGAACAAAGAAACAAAAATAGACATTTCTTTGTTTTTCATAAATAACTAATCTCCATATTTGATAAAAATCTTAAAACCATTATTTTACCTTCCCACAAATATAATACAAAAAATTTCCAAAATAATAAGGTCAACAAGTTAATCTTGAGACTAACATAACCACACACAATTGCTGTTGTACTGACTTCCAGGCACAAAACAAACCTCTTTTCAAGATACTCTGCGTTTCCTTTTGCTAATGTTATGGATTCAGAATTATAACCATTGCCAGTCATAATCTATAGGTTCAAGCTGATTGTCTACAAATAAGATATTGCTGGCTCTGATTTGTGAGTGCTGGATTTGGCGTGACAGCAATGATTCTTACTGCATGGGATAGGCACTATACATGTATGCAAACCATACACAGCACTGAATGCCCTGTTCTCCAACTACTGACTCGGTATGTGCCTCATTTGGCTCAGTAATAAATTCACCTGCACCAACCCGTATCAAAAGTCACTAAAATCTCTCTCTCATATATATATGTATATATGTATATAATATATATTACGTATATACACACCCACAAAACATACATACTGTACATAGTTTGTAACAATGTAAATTAATGTTGTCTTAAAATGATGTACCACAGACATTATCCTGGATGGGAAAAAAAAAAAATCCTGCAATTGTCATCAAGCTAGAAAAGCTTCTGAGAGTTTGAATCGGGTTAGTTACAACCTGCCCGCCCTTCTTTCATGTCTGGAGAGTTTTTCTCTCTGAGCTGTGCTCCCCAGCCCAGGCTGTTTCTTTCCCGGGATCACTTGATTGGACTTCGGAGACAAGAAAGAACACAGAAAGGCAGCAGGCAATTCTTAGCCACCGGCCCTCACACCTGCCTAGGTTTGTGATGTGCTCGGTCCTGTCTGCCACATCCGGTGTTGGAAAGCACTCTTTCAAAGCTTTGTCCTCCCTACCCCCCTTGGCCTTTCTGTAGAGCACAAAAGTGAAAGGAGCTTTCTTAGCAGGGGCAGCAGTTCATTAAAGCAGACAACTGTGCTTCCTAGCTCTGGGGTTCCCATTCTACACTCCCAGTGCAGGGCACGGACGCTGTTATTACGGTTCTGTGTATGATCCAGGACCTGTTCTCCTGGCAGCCGGTGTCAAGATTAGTGCTGCCCTGGCCCAGGAGGGAACAGCCTAATGAATACCAACTTGGAACAAGTGCCATCGGCACATTATTTAAGCTTGTACACGCGCACAATTACACACAAGGCATGCACACAGGCCCTGGTCACTGGCAATGGTCACATGAGAACATGACAAAGGGTTGCAAGAATAAGCCAATAAGGCACCAAGAAAAATGATGTTCATCCAATTTAGACAACTTCAAAATGTGAGGAGGGAAATAATATAAAATTAAATAATAATAAAAAAATAAAACCAAACCTTCCTAACATTTGGCCACTGGAGTCCCGAAGGCCCCACGTCTTCAACTACCTAAATCCTCACCCTCTAACCTGTGCAACGCTTACAGAGGTGAGCGAGGTGGCCAGAGCAGCGCTAAGTCCTCCCCAGCAACAGAAACTGAACTAGCCCACAGTTCTCCATGTCATTTCACTCATTGTTAGCACGACAGAAATGCGAAGGAGAGAAAAATGCGTGGTGGAAAGGGGGGGGGGTGACCATTCGTACGTGCGGCTTCCCTCTCCCCTCCGCTAGGGCTGGCCGGGACTGGTGTCGGTAAGGGAAGCAGGTGGGCTCTCTTTGTCTCCTTAGGGTAGGGGAGAAGAAAGGAGAGCAAAGATGACAAGAAACAAAAGAGGCTTCCGAGGCATCCAAACCTCCACAGGCCACCGCCTTGGCATCGCGTCTGTTCCAGCTTTCTTATTTTCAAAGGGAATTAATTGTTCTTTTTTTTTTACTTTAGCATGTTGCTAAGATAAAAAAAAACATCATTTTTAAACAAATTAAATCATTTTCATCCACTTCATCCCACAACTTTTAGATACACTGTCTGTCTTTTCTAGATTCCTCCACAATTTTCTTTGTGAAGAGGAAACAACCCAAACTAGACACAGCTGACTCGGGGAAGATGAGCTAAACAAGCCAAGAGGTTAAGGTGGTAGATAAGAAGGGCCTCATTTGAAAAACAGGAGAAGACAGGGAGCCTATTGAGCTTCCCGGAAGAGGTTTCTGAATAAACAGAGTAAGACAATCCCAGAGTTCTACAGCTAGGGGTAGAGATTTTGTGGAAGCCACTAAAGTTTTCATTTTGATTCAAATCAGTGAGTAAGGGTACTGCAGTTTACAAACGTGAACGGCTTCAGAGCAACCTAAAGATTTAGTCTTAGGCATTTAAATTCCCAGTGGGAACTATGCATTTCTCCGCTCAGTACCTGGGAGGTAAAGCTGACTCAGGCTTAAATCCCCCACCCCACCCCCAGCTGCTGCAAATGAAAACCGGGATGCCTAGACTCCAGCTGTTTTTCTAGGAAAGCTTTGTGACGTTTTTAATTGCTTGGCCATTTTCGCTCCCTAAGTTTAGTTCCCACTCTGTCTTGGTCACTGGCCTTGCTGGCTGGTGCACGGCACTTTCCCCCCAGTAATGGCCTCACACTCTTGGTGAATGAATGGTTAAACAGATTAGGAAAGCAAACAGACTTTTCTAATAGCAGAGAAACTCTGTGTGAGGGGGTATCGTCACTAGACGGGCTTTCATAGAAGGAGGCAAAGAGAGCGGGGCGGGGGGCGGGGGTCCTCCAGCAGTAGGTATTACACCGCCCCATTCTACAAAGCGTAAGTTATGGGTCTTGTTTGCTTTCCGGAGGCTACCAGAGGACAGTGCTGCTGCTTTGGGGCTTTCTGGCTTTAAACTAGCCCCGAGTTCAGGGACACTTGTTTTTCCTTCCTCCAAGCCAAAGTTTGTTCCCAGGTAACGAGCCTCGCTCCCAAACTGCAGCACTTCATTGGAGGGTGGGCGTGGCTTCTAATCACCGCACTCCAGGAGGAGGAATAAGAAAAGCAAGAAAGACTGTTTAACATGATAAAGGAGGTGGGGTGGGAGGAGCAGATAAGAAGCAATGGGAATTTACTTTAATTACTGAAAGCATATCCGTTTTTTGTCCTTTAATCTAAAAGAGAGCCCCCTTTAGCAAGGATTCCTAAGTACCTCCAGAAGAAGGGAGTGGGTTTACTTTTACAAAAATGTGTAGCACAAGTTTCTTTTCTTTAAAAATACTAATAAGGGATCCCTGGAGCTTTTTACGAAGCACCCACTCCCTCTCCGGCTCAAAGTTCAGAATTCACATCCAGCTCTATAACTCCACCTCTAACAGACTCAAGACAGGACACCCGCTCTATCAGGAATGAGAAGGGCTGCAGCAGGTTGAAAAGAGCCCAACGCTTGCTGGGCAAGGTTAAGAAGGATCACAAAATCTCCAGCTCCCTTGTCACTTGAGGATCGTCCTAAGCACATTATGATCCATTCCCAGGGAGGACAGCAGATGGCCTCTGGTCTCTAAGTGTCCTGGACATTCTAAGCAGTGTAAGGAAAAACTAGCTTTAAAAAAAAAAAGGCACTCCACACCTTCCCAGTCACAGCAGCCTTCACTATTCACATAAAAAAGACACACGTATAGGAAATATATTTTCCTAATTTAGACCACACAGTCCAAAGGAACCTGAACCAAGGGTAACCTCATTACAATGCCCGCTTGAGGACTGTGAAGTCCCCAAAGCAAAGGTATTTTTGTTGCCAAAATGCAACAAAGTTAAAAATTAAAATACATATAAATTAAAAACTGGGTTCTTCTAAAGAAGGCAGTAAGAAATACAAACTAGAATACACCGCACGTGAGCTGAGCCCCCTGGTAGAAGACTGGAGACAGGTACTCTCTTGAAACCGATCCCTTTCCCTCTCCAAGCCCCTCAGGAAGGGGGTACCAGCACCAAGAAGGTAAACGGAAGTGACCTTCACAAAGTTACCAAACAAAACAAGCCCCTCCTTCAACTCCAGCACTGTCCCTGGGCCTACAGGCCACCTAGACGTGCGACAGGGACACTTGCTTGTGGTATGCGGCAGCGGCGGGGCCGGGCGGCCCGGTCCTGCCGGTGAGCGCGGCGCTGGCCTCAGCATAGTCCCCTGCGGCCATAGCGCCACCACTCTTGTGGCCCCGCCCTGAGCTGCAGCAGCAGCGGCTGGTGAAACGCCGCCAAGACTCCAGGGTCTTGCCGGACCAGATCCAGACTCCCGACGTGATGCCCACCACCAGGCACATAAAGTATTTGAGCATGAGTACCCAGTACTCGGGTTTGGCGCGCGGCTGGCCAGAGTCGGATCCTGGACACGTGCAGGTGAGGGCAGCCTCCCAGCTTTCCCGGTAGTGCTGCTCATACAGGTAGCAGGCCACCACAATGCTGGCTGGCACCGTGTAGAGCAAAGTGAAGATGCCAATGCGGATCATGAGCTTCTCTAGCTTGTCTGTCTTAGTGCCACCCTGCTTGATGACACTCCGGATGCGGAAGAGAGACACGAAGCCCGCCAGAAGGAAGAGCGTGCCCACCAGCAGGTAGAGCACCAGTGGGCCCAAAACGAAGCCACGCAGCGAGTTTAGGTTTTGGTTGCCCACATAGCAGATGCCGGCCACAGGGTCCCCGTCCACGGAGCTTAGTGCCAACGCTGTAATGGACTTGACACTGGGGATGAGCCAGGCAGCAAGATGAAAATACTGGGCATAGCCTGCGATGGCTTCGTTGCCCCACTTCATGCCAGCTGCCAAGAACCAGGTGAGCGACAGGATGACCCACCAGATGGAGCTGGCCATGCCAAAGAAGTAGACTAGAAGGAAGACGACCGTGCACAGTGCAGGGCCAGTAGTCTCATAGTGGATGTGGCTGTGCTCGCGGCTGCAGGCGACGCTAGCATGGCCCACGACCAGGCGCACCAGGAATCCCAGCGACACACACAGGTAGCACGCAGATAAGAAGATGATGGGGCGCTCAGGGTAGCGGAATCGTTCCATGTCGATGAGGAAGGTGGCAACGGTGGTGGATGTGGAGATAAAGCACAGCACAGACCACAGGCCAATCCAGAAGGTGGCGAACGTGCGCTCATCGGGGCTGAAGGACGGCTGGTAGCAGGGCACCGCACAGTTGGGCACCTGGCCGGTACGCACCTTGTTGTAAAGAGGGTGTGACTCCTTCAGGATGGGCACGAAGGGCTCACGGCAAGTGCATACAGATGGTCCTCCCGAGGGGCACTCACCCCCGGAAGATGGCGCTCCTGGTGGGCCTGGGAGGGTAGGCTTGGCCGGGAAGGACTTAGGGGACGTGGTGGTGGCTTCGCTTCGGTTATAATCCATGCACAGAACCTCGGCGTCGCCGCCCAGCACTGGGAGACGGTCGCAACTCATGCGCTCCGGCCAGGCGAAGCCGTACTGGCGCATGAGTGGCGAGCAGCCGGCCTTGGCACGCTCGCACACGGAGCGGCACGGTGGCAGAGGCTTGTGGTAGTCGGGCAAGCAGATGGGTGTGTACATGGAGCACAGGAAGAAGCGCAGGTCCGGCGAGCAGTGGATCTCCACCAGCGGCCAGAATTGGTGCACCTCCAGGCCTGCCTCGTCCTGCGTGTCGTGGTTGAACTGGTTGGGCATGTGCGTCAGGTTGTAGCCGATGCCGCGGCACATGGGCACTGTGATTTCCTGGCACACCGGGGCCTTGGAGGCGGCCGCTGCCCGGCCCACAAGCTGCGCTAGCAGAAGCAGGAGCAGCGAAGGCGACGCGGACGGGTCGGACCGGGCCATCGCCCCCTTCTTCCCCTTTCCTCCCGGTGCCCGTGAGGGTCGGCGCTGACCGACGAATCCGCGGCCGCGGCTTCCCTCTCCGGGATCTTGAGTGTGACGCCCGGGCTGGCAACCTGTTGGTTTCTTTTTCTCTTAAAGAAATCCGTGCAAAGACAATCTGCTTCGGGAAGGCGCTGCCTCCGCCGGCAGCGGTCCGCGCCAGAGAGGGCTGGAGAGACTAGTAGGGCTCCGATTCCAAGGACACAACTCTATAAAGAAAGGGTAGGGTAAGAAAAATCGCAACCACTCCCTCTTAGAGGAGCACCAACCACTCGGTCTTCGTACCCGGTCTCCAATCTCTAGATTAACCCCTTTCCACCCCTCCACCTCCTGGAACCAAACTTAAGACTCCCCCAACTCCACTCCCCGCGCCTGCCTCCCTTTCCTGGCCCGACCCTGCAGGCTGTGCCTGGGGCCAGAGAGCACAGTCCTGGAGAAAGGGGTAGAGGAACCGGGAGAACTGGGATTAGGGGGAAGACGCGGGCTCTCACCTCCGAGAATCCTGCTGGGCGGCAGACGTCTGCAGCCAGCCAGGCTCCTCCGTCCCGCGACTCCGAATCCGGCCAGAGCTGGAAAAGTTTAAGGACAAGCTAGGTACCTGTGGCGGCGACACATGGCAGCAGGTGGGGGACGTTTCAGAGAGCAGGGAGCCCCTCGACCACGGTTGGCGCGGGCCGGTCAGTTGCCTTCTCTTCTTTCGGGGCCCCCGGCATGATTCGAGCAGAGCAGGGCAAGGACAGGCCGTGCCTTCCACCGGTGTCCCGGGGCCCAGACGAAGGGTAAGGGCGCCGGGCAGCACTTGGGCTTGAAGGAGGTCGGGGTGCGGAGGCCGGAGGGGACCCCGCCACCTCACTGCACAGCGAGCAGCCGGCACTGGCCGGGCCGGGACTGCATGGTCCGCGCCCTCCGCCGCGTCCCGCCAGCCGCTCGCTGCCTCCCCTGCAGGGGGCTCCGCGCTCCAGCGGACTCCGGGGGGCGGTGGCGGCGCTCACAGGACGCACCCCGCTCAGCTCCTCCCCCGCGCTCTCGCACACTTTCGCCCACCTCCAGCGAGCTCCGAGCGGTGCGCGACGGCAGCGGCGCGGCGGAGTCGCGGCCGCAGGCTGACTGCCCTCTCCCGCCCCGCCCGGGTCACCTGCCTCTAATGCCCGCCAGGAGGCCCCGCCCCCGGACCGCCCCCTCCCACCCGGCCGGGAAGCTGGGCGCCCCACCGAGCGCTTTCGTGCGGCCCCGCCCACCTCCCGGTCGCCCCGGCCTCTCCCTGAGCGCCCCGCGGCCCCGCCCGGAGCGGGCGGTGGAAGAGCGTCAGCCAATAGCGGGCCGGGAAGTGAAGAGGGCGTGGTCAATGCTAATCAGGCCGCCTAGAGAACGCGGGCGGGAAACGTGGTCCTAAGTCCTTCTGCAGTTCTCTGCGGCTGCCGCCCTGTATCCGACTCACTTTCCCGAAAGGGTCTGCTTTCTCAACTCCCGCTTCCAGGTCCTCTCCACCAGGCCACCTCTCTCCGGATCAGCGTCCTTATGGAGGCCAGGCGCTTTTAAACAAGAGGAACGGAGAGGTCAATTTCAGCTGTGCCACCTGTCTTCCCTTCTGGTCTGTCTTGTGCAGGGTGACAGACGCGCCAATACTTAATGAGCAACCACGTGTTTGTTAATGGTTTACACCTTGGTAGGCGAGCTGAATTCCGTGGGATTCTAAGGCCAGAACGACTCAACTTGACCTACCTACACGGCCGAGCTAGCGAGACAGAGAGACCTTGACAAACTTGTGCTCCTCCCTGTGCGAGCCCTGGTACACAGCAGGCGTTCAGATGGCAAACTTGGAATCTGAAACAGTCTTAGCTACTCCCACCTCCTCTAGAAATTCCGATATTGTCCAGACTTTGTGCTTTCGTACATGCAACAAAATCTTACTGTGGTGAAGAGAGTGAATTTCTTTTCCGTGTTGGGAGGCACTAGAAATATTAGTCTTTAGCAGTCGAGGTTTATAATCCCGGGCAAGTACTCAGTGGCCTGCAGAGAAAATCTCGGGCTGGGGCAGGGTAAGTACAGCTCGGGGTGCTGGGTCACCAGGGGCTGGCTGCTGAGAGGTTGGGACCCCCTGGGAGGGGGGCAGGCAGGCAGGACCGCGGGGAAAACCTGCTGCAGGCAGTTAACGCAGGGACACACAGTGGCGCTCTCCTGATGGGCTAGTATGCTGCGAATTTTAAACGTCCCATAAATGTCTCTTTTCTACGCGTTCTAATTAGGATGGGAGACTGAGGAGTTCAGCATTCTTGAAATTCACTCACACGCTTATAAAAGAGGCTTTAAATTGTATACTGCTCCTTCAACCTTTTCTTCCGTTGAGGGAAAAAAAATCGAAGAAGGGAGCGGGCCTAAAGCTACTTGAAAGACTTGAGACTGGCCTCAGGGCCTGAGATCTGTGTTGAGTCTTACTGTCATTTTCCATGCCATTTGTAAGGGCGAAAAAGCCACCTTCTGTGTATCTACAGGCTTTGTGGACGCTAATAAAACTATTTTAATCTCAGTCACAAAGTTTAAAAAGGAATAAACTATCTCTTCACGGACACCATGGCTATCAATAAATGCTTAAAATGTGAGTTGCTCTGCTTCCCAGAGCTCTATAGGTGTTCGTATTTAACTTCTTTTGTTCTTAGTAACTGCTTGGCACTCAAGGTCTACAAAAATTCTAGGCTTGGAATTAGTGGAGGGTGAGAAAAGTATGCCACAGCTCCAAAGGGAAGGCACCCTGAGTGGAAAGTATGTACAGCCTGCCGACCCGCCAAGGGAGGCCTCTACCCTGTATGTGCTGTGTATGTTGCTGGGATGGACAAGTGTTGGCTAATAATAAAATTTATTTTGCAGTTGGAGAATGTAAACCACTCACACTGGAATCTGGCCAGAGGAGCCGCGTTGTTGCGCTTGGTTCTGACTAGAACTTTATCATCCACTGTTCTGTCAATCCCACTTCTTAATAACGGTAAAAATCCGATTTCTGGCTGGAGATTCCAAGTGGTAACTGTAGCAATGGAAGGAAACATTAACTGGGCCTGGCTCATACCTTTAATCCACCCCTCTAGAGGTCTGACGAGAGGATTTTGAGTTTGAGGACAACCTGGACTACACTGGCAAACTGTGTTCCAAACCCTATCCCCAGAAGTGACAAATAAGTGTGTATACCTTTTTGTGTTTTAATTTTGCCTTTCCTCATATGTTACTTTAAAGATTATTTTAAAATAGGCGGACTGGGGCTGGAGCAATGGCTCAGCACTTAGGAGCACTGTCTGCCCCCCACCCCTCAATGACACCTGAGGCAGATGGGAGAGCTGCTCCCATTACTCATCTGTTCTGTGGCAGCATTGAGGGGTGTGGAGTTGAGGGGGGGAATATAACCTCCTCCCCCATCTGGCCCTGAGGCCCTAAGAGCAGGAGAGCTGTTCCTGCCGCTCATCAGCTGCAGCACTCAGGAGAGTGGTCCTGTACCTGAACTGGCCAGCACAGGAGAGCTGTCCCTGAAGGTGATGGTGAGAAGAACTGTCCCAGAGGACCTGAAAGCCTGGGGACTGGCCCCGCCCCTTGTTCATTGCTGCTCAGGAGGAACTAGCCAGGGCAAGGCCGGTGGTGTGAAGACAGAGAGAGCTAGAGGGCTGACCAACCGTGCAGGCCCAGAACCAGGGCTAAGTGTTGGCCCACCCCAACATCTGGGATTTGTTGGAGGGCAGGAGGTGGTGGAGGTGTGGAGGGTCCTTCGGATCCAGGAATACAGACTGTCCACGACACAGGGCAGCAACTGGATGTGGAGGAAGAGTCCTAGTGAGGGCCCAGTGTCAATAGTTTAGCAGTGACCAGGGGCCTTGAACACTTTCTTCATTTCCCCTCCTTTTTATCTTAAATTTTATTTTGTTTATTGTGGGGTGGGGGGAGGTTGCAGGAGCAGAGAGAGTAGATGGGTGGGATCGGAATGCATGATGTGAAAGACAAAAATAAATAAAAAAGAGAGTTTAAGAAAAGACCATTGTCTGCTCTTGCAGAGGACATGGGTTCAGCCCCAGGACCCACAGAGTGGCTCACAACAGTCTGTAACTCCAGTTCCAGGAGATCTGATGCCCTCTTTTGACCTCCATGGATACCAGGCATGCACATGGTACACATGCATACATGCACACCAAACAGTCATATACCTAAAAATAATTAAATCTAAAAACAGAAAAGTCTTTCTTAATTATGCTAATTATGTAACATATCTTAGGTAGATAAATAATATACTTCACTTTGTTTCATACTTGAAGTAATCAGATAAGGAAACTAGCATCAGAACAGCTCACTGGATGTATTATTCAGTCCACAAAGAGGGCATAGAATTTTATACTCCATAATTATTACAGTTAATAACTATATACAGGTATAAATTGCTGCGTTCTTAGCACACACGCACACACACACATACATGGTAAGCATGTGGGCTGGAGATGTAGCTCAATTTGTTGCCTAGCAAACACAAAGACAAGTTCAGCCCCCAATCCACCTAGCTAGGCATGGTGGTAATGCTTATAATCCCAGCACTCAGAGGAAGAGCCAGGAAGTCAGAACCTCAAGGTCATCCATCTTTGCCTGCCATCAAGTTAGAGGTCAGTCTGGGCTATATGAAACCTTGTATATATATTAAAAAAAGATTTAAAAAAGAAATAAAATATACACATGTGTTATATATGCTAAAACTGCTTGAATTAGTCTTCCCAGAAACTATAGATATATTCAAACAACATGTTTTAGTCATAAATAAATACAATTTGTGTTTGTCAATTTAAAGAGTTACCTTAGGGGCTAGAGTTCAGATCTCTGTCATCTGCAAGTTGGGTGTGAAGAACACCTATAGCAGGTGCTGAGGTCTCCGTAGACTTCTTGGCCTCCCAGTCTTGTCACTGAACTCCTGCTTCAAAAAGAGATCCTGTCTCCAAAGTCAGGTGGAGAACAGTAGAGGAAGACACCCAGCACTGGCCTCTGGCCTCCAAACATGACTATAAACCCCCACACATGAATGTGTACACACAATAAATACATAATCTAATTAAACTTAATTTTTAAAATCACCTTTAAAACACAAAATTTTCTTCCAACTTCCCATATATTATACAAAGAACTAGAACACATATTTCAAAAAGACCCAGTCGCATGTATGTTAGCACTGGGGACTGCACCCGGTTCTTACACATCCTAGGGACGTGATCTGTCACCGATAAATAATAAATACTCTGCCAGCCCATACAGATACTCTCAATTTAATCATATTTGTTATTAGTACGTAGATGTCTGTGCTGGTGCAATTTTTTATTTATTTGGTTTTTCAAGACAGGATTTCTCTGTGTAACAGCACTAGCTGTCCTGGAACTAGCTCTGTAGATCAGGCTGGCCTTGAACTCACAGAGATCCACCTGCCTCTGCCCCCCAAGTTCTGGGATTAAAGGTGTGTGCCACCTCCGCCCAGCTAGCATGCAGGTGTGTGTCCCGGTGCAGTTATGCCTTGGTAGTCAAAGCTCTCCTCCCATCCAGGGTTCGGAGGATCAATCTCAGGATAGCAGGTTTGCATGACAAGCAAGCTCTTTTGCCCGCTGGGCCATTTTATGGTCCAAAGATACAATGTAGTTGTTTTTAAAATTTTGTTTTTACATTTTCTTTTTGAAACAGAGTCCCATTGTGTAGCCCTGGATGACATGGAACTGGGTTTGTAGACCAGGCTGGCCTCTGCCTCTGGGGTGCTGGGATTAAAGGCATTCACCACCATGCCTATCTCCAAAAATAAAAGTTTTTAAGTACTTGGGGCACTACCAACTGTCCCTCCATAAAGACATTTAAACAAACATCACACTTCCGATAACTGCTATATTAAACATAGCATATTTATACAGAGTCAACTTGATAAAATTAAATTTAAATTACTGTTCTAGTTATGCTTACTGATTGTTGAAAATTTGGAAATATTACTTATCTCATTTCAAAATGGACGGCATTCTATAAGTTTAAAAAGTATTAATTTGCTGGGCATGGTGGTGCACACCTTTAATCCTGTCACTCGGGAGGAAGAGGTAGGCAGATCTCTGTGAGTTCGAGACCAGCCTGGTCCACAAAGGGAGTTCCGGGATAGTCCCTTCTCAGGCTGAACCAGAGAAGCTCTGTCTCAAAAACAAACAAACAAACAAACAAAGAGTATTAGTTTTCTATTTTATTATGGGGAATACTTAAACATTTGGAATCATAGTCTCTGTTTCTTACAAATGCATTATTATTCTCAGTGCTATAGATACGGGCAGGCAGGCAGCCTTGGTGTCCTATTTATTTATTTGGCTGCTTGTTCGTTTGTTTTTGAGACAGTCTAACCTTGAACTCTTAATAACTGAGGTGGGAATGGTGCGCTAACTACACACTTCCAACAGCCTCCTCCACAGCCTCACAGACTAAAGCAACGAGTGGAGCCGAGGTGAACTTATCTGATGAGCTTGACCCTGCTTTTTCGAGTCCAGCGAGTCCAGCTTTTCCCTTACTCACCTTGTACTCTTGGACAGCTCACTGGCCCACTGCAGCTCCTCCTTCATGTCTGTAGGAAAAAGTTTGAAATACTTAACTATCTGATCGAGTTGGCATTAGAAATCAGATTTGTGGGGTGAAGGGATAGGAACCATGTTTAGCACCCGAAGAGTCCACACACGTTTGTGGCTGCTACTCCTTTTTTCCAAGGTCCGTTCCACGTTCCTGTTTCCCCAGTTTTCTGAGGTGTTTGCACTTTTATTCCTGAGCACACTCCAGCTGTCGCCAGTTATCTTTGGCACTCGCTACTAAACCGAATGCCAAAGCAGGGCTCGTCACTTGCCCCGGCCAAAGGGCATACAGCTGGCATCCTCAGTCACCTGTGTACACAGGTGCTGCCACAAGCCAGCCATCCACAGCCAGCCTGGTGCTCATGGGTATTTCCAGGCAAGCTCCTCACACGTCCACAGCATCTTTGTTCAACCCTCGTCCCATCGCGTCGGCCGCTTTCCGATGAGAAGCCAAGGGGCCAACCAGGGAAAACAAGTGAGCCATGTTCCTGCGTTGATAATGAAAATGTCTTCTGCACCTACAGGTCGAGTAATCCCATTCTCACCTTCCACCTTCTCCCCTCCCACACCACAGTGAAGATTATAAAAGGGTAAAAGCAGCTTTCTTTTTCTCCCCAAGGTTGAGGAGTATTAATCTTTCCCACATTGATCAACAGCTCTCAACTACATGTTACAATCACCCAGGGACCCTTCAGAATCCCCTCAACCTTGGACCCTACAGAACTGGGATTTCTGGTTGAGGGCTGTAGATACTGTTTTCAGGTTTTCTTTGTTGCTGGTTGATTTTTGATTCTCTCGGTGATTCTCATTTTTATCTAGGGCTAAGAACTACTGGAGAAAAAATTAGTTTGCTTCTTCCTCAGTACAGCTACAAACTTGAACCCCATGGGCCTTCTGCAAAAAGGTATTCATCACATCCGTGTGCAAAACGGAACTGTCAGGACAAGGAATAAAAGCATTCTAGGCTGCTTGCATGTGAGTCTGCAAGGCTAAACTCAACAGAACTTTCATAAATACACGAGCAGTGACAGATCCAATAACAGCAATGGGTGAGAACCGAGTATCTCCTGTGTACGTATCACGCTAACATTTTACATATGGAATTTCTCCCTCCCATCCTGGAAGATTAGCTATTATTATCTCCCATTTTATAGATGAAGAAATTGTGGTTCAGATGAGCTATGTAATGCGCAGAGGGGCTGCATGTCTTCCCTTTGGTATGTCCCTTACCTCAATGCTTACATGCCCATCAACTGCAAGCCTGCCTGTGAGCCTTGCCAAGGCTGCTCATGAACAGAGCCACAGAACCATGAGGGGATAATGTCACACAGTTGATTTCCTTGGCTCGGTGGAGTCCCCTCAGTTCTGCTGTGTGGGGAGAGAACGGAAGAGCTAAGGACTCTGGACTCTCCCACAACTCAGTTGAAATCTAGATGCAACTCAGCGCTTGGGCTTAAACAGATCAGGCATGAGGTAGAGTGTTCCTTATACTGGATTTCAGAACTTGGTTCTTTTCATTTTTGGAATTGACTATTTCATACATCAATAAACTACAGATTTATCCCTATTTATAAAAAGATAAGATTCGCACCCCTTTGTCCTCTCTGACGGCCTCCTCTGCTCCATAAGGAACTGCTGCTTGGCCTGATCTGGTACAAGCCTTGCGTAGATAGCCACAGTCAAAGTGAGTTCAGGTATGCCAGTGACCAGAGGACATCCTTCTCTTACATATTTCCCCATCCTCTGGCTCTCACATTCTTTCTGCCCACTTGCCACTGATCAGAACCTAAGACTTGACATTAAACCTGATGCTGATACAAGGCCCTGGATTCCCAGCCTAACGCCCCAAAACAATACCGAGAGAGCAATGATTCCCCACCTGCTGTTTACCAGTGCTTGTCAAGAACATGGAACTAGAAAGGCATGGTCTGACAAAGCAGGGCATTGTGGGAATTTAAAGGGATCCCTTACCCAAGCTGAGGGCTCAAGGAAAGACCCAGACTTACCTGAAAAGAGTGAATATGAGTTGGATAATTCATCAGGGATTAGTACAGGGACTAGAAACCATTCTTGAGTATTTTGAACAGAGAAAGACTTAGTACAAAGAATCAAGCAGGGGCTTATGCAACTGTGGGAAGGAATGGAGATGTGGAAATCAGGCGGCTGCCCTGGGTGTATTGAGTTCAGGCGCTGACCACAGTAGCCAGGATCCAGAAGTCAGGGTCCTGTGACTGCCGCCCACACCCTCCGAGCTGACGACTTGCCACTGGGAAGTGATGCCGAGCCCAGCACCACGAGCCGCCTTTTATTGTTGGCTCCTAGCCTCACTTGCCTGTAGAGACAGTAGAAGGCTTCCTCTCTGCGTCTCTCTGTAGAGACGGTAGAAGGCTCCCTCTCTGCATCTCTCTGTAGAGACGGTAGAAGGCTCCCTCTCTGTGTCTATCTGCCTGTAACATCTCTTTGAAGACATTTGG